GAGTAATTTGAAGGTTGTTGGCAAGCATGTTATTGGTCTGTAGTTTTCAGGTGTTGTTGGGGGCAATATGCTGACTCTGTAAACCGCTTAGAGAGGGCTGAAAGCCCTATGAAGCGGTATTTAAGTCTAACTGCTATTGCTATTGCTATATGGAAAGTGAAAACTCCTTTGAGTTCTGTTTGCATAATCAGAATGGATATTTACAAGTTAGGGGATTCTCCATAGGACTTGTGATGCCTATAGAGGGCCAATGCCTAAGCATTTTGCTTCTGAAGCTAGTTTTGTTGGGTACAGCTGTAACAAAACAATTGATGCGATACAAGTATGCTTTTCCAATGAAATCCAATATATAACCACTCAGCAAGCTAGCATTGTTCAATTCAAGGGAGTTATCAGTATATATGGGTATATAGAACTACAGCCTTCATGCATTAATCAACAATACCTTTCATAATGTCACTAGCCTTCCTCTGCTTCATGCTGTGTGTTTGCGACAAGCTGGAATAACCCTTTTCCTCCTCACTCTGCTGTGGGAGGCTGTTTCTGCAAAGACCAGTTTGACTTGGCTGATGTCTTTCTCCAAACTCAGCAGAAACACCCTCATTTCCTAGTGCAGAAGACAAGATGCAGCTTTAATTCCAGTTTCTGTTCCTGAAGCAAAAATAAATACTTTACGAGAGAAACTGAGGTAAATTTACCTGTGATGACTTCGTGATTTTCAAAGCTAGTCCCATTTCTTGGTAAACGTTGAGTCTGTTGAGTTAGGGGAAGTTCCTTTTGAAAAGATAAGCAAATTTGAGTTATGTTATTCTCTTGACTCTTTAATAAGGTATGTGCTGGGGAAAACAATATATAGTCTATTATCTTGTGTCGAGCACTTACAGCACATAAAACAACAACGTTCTTAGAAAGATCCATCCTACGTCCTTTCCTGCAAACTATATTTCTATCAACTCAGCACTTTGGGTAGATTTCTTTTTCATTTCTGCATTTTAACAAGTTATTTTGTTTGTGCCATTGAGTTTTCTGCTTCTTGTGGAACAAAACCCTAGAGGTCCGGTAAATATTTAATCTTATTTTTATGCTATCCTGTCTTAATTTAGTTTCATACACAGATAGTATTTGATGTACGACTACATTAAGCCTTACAATTATGGCTGTAAATCATGGCAGTTGTAAATGGGTCATCATGTGGCTGACCTGATTTTATGAACTTTTTCATGTGGCAGTTGTAAAATGAACATCACAGTTCTTAAGTGAATCCATTATTTTTTTAGGGGGCGTTTTTTTGCCAAAAATCAGAGGAAATTATTGGTTTTCTGTGAAGTACCCGTGGTTCGCCTCATGAGGCCAATGTTGAGAAAAGACACGGACACGAGCTTTCTCGGGATGAGGCGGCCCCGATTGGGGTCCGGTAGCCCCTTTTATTGAGATAGGACAAAGGCAGGAGGAGCAA